TATGAGAATTGTTTACATCCCAGGATACTAAATGTCTGTAGACTTGGGACTGATTCTGCGGGGGCTCCACACAGTCTCTCAGTCGGTGATGTCTGCATTTATGGAACTGCATTAAAACCTAGCGGCTAATGAAGCAGGCCAATTCTGCCCCCTGTTCTAGAAGAGCTGCTCGATAATAACATTCTCCTTCCCAGCAATTTCCTCAATGTTACTAACAACCTGGCCTACGAAAAAAAGACCAAATAATCTCCCGGGTTTTTCAGCTCCATGTATAAGCAGATGGTGGCCAGCTACAAGAAAACAGATCTGGTGTCACCTCCCTCAGCCCTAGGGAAGTGGTGAGGATGTACGGGGCTGTAACAGCATACGGACCTTCCTCACAAAAGCTTTGCAGCAGTGTTCCCAGCCTGGCTTTCAAATCCCCATTCTTCGCTTTGTAGAGCACTTGTTAAGGGCTCTATTCCTTAAATAAAACTGCTGGTTCCATATTCTCGCATGTAAGATTTTTTTAAACAACTGGAACAATACTTTCCATTTCACGGCAATCGCTGTAGGAGTGTTTTTCTCCAGGGAGTACAAATCCTCTCCTCCAATTCTATGGGTATGCGGCTGTCAGCAGAATAGCTGGTAAATTCCTGTCACCAAGGGAAGGTTTTTTGGACTCAAACTCTTGGACCTGCCAAGATTATTTCAGTTTACTGTTGGACTCCACAGGATGCAGCAGCACAGCCTACCTGCTCCAAAAGCTCAAATATACCCAACCTGCAGACGGACACACCACCTGCCTCCTCCTGCAGAGTTTTATGAAACTCCTCCTCCTCTCACCCCTCCATTTTTCAGTGTTTTTTTTTTTTCCAAGGGAAACTAAAATCTGACTTCAGTATGTTTAATTTGCAGGGAAAGGTGTTTTACCTTACATGGGGAAAAGAAGAAAAACACACTGATGCACGACAGGCTAGAGAAATACATCCCATTTCCTTGCAGTGCCACAAAGTCTGCCAGCTAATAAAGACAGAAACCTTCCTTTCAGCAGGCTTCCAGAAACAGGGACATTTCTAGAGTCAGCTGCAGGTAGCTTCCATTCAGTTTATTGTATCTACCAAGTTGTGTTTGCTAACTGACATGGGAGTCAAGACTTGGTGGTGTGATATTTTAATGCAATAGACACATCCACAGAAAAGCTTTGTCCACCTACTGTTGAGAGACTGACAGAGTCACAGATCAGAGTTATCAAAAAGATTTTGTAAACGTTTTTATCCAAAACAGACAGATGACTCAATGTATCATCATAAGTGCTTCATATGTGATACCATCTTCTCATTAAAATATTGTGGATTAATAATTTTAAATACTGTAGTGTATTAAAGTGGCACTCACTCGCAACAATACAGTTTGGAGCATTTGTGACATAACAATTGCTATTTTCTGAGGTACAGGAAAGAGAAAAAAAATATGTAGAAGAAATGTAGGGGGGCGATTGTAGAGGGATAGTCTATATCCCTGAAACGAGGTGTGGTAGGTTTCTATTAATATCATTTAATGCCATGTCATAGGAGAGTACCATGTGTGTTCCATCCATATGGTTGCACAGAAACAAGACAGAAGTCACAGAAGATCTTCATTTAACAAATCCACCAGGCCATTATGCAATAAAAACAAGGATATATAACTACACTATTAATACAGAGGACAAGTGACATTGGTTTAGATGCACAATATTATGTATGGACCAATTCCTGCCAATTTTTCTTCATGACTGGGGTAAATGATACCATGACTCAATCTTTCTGTAAAGTAATTATATTGCTTAGATTTATTTCTACAGTGTTATTCACTGTTTGGGCAAAGGAGATTTCTAAATCAGGTCTCTTTCTAAAACTGCTGTATTAGCCATACTGCAGAAATCAACACGGTTGGGAGAGTCTGTTCATTGCACTGTTGAGCATAAAATGAGTGTATACCTTACAGGGCATATAATAGAAGTCTCTGGCAAGGACTAGCATTTTGGATATTCAATAACATTTACTACTTCTTCAGTATATACTGGGTTGATTATATGAAGAAACCAACAAAACCTGTTAGTTTACGACCTCCCTTATTCACAATGGAATACATTAAACACACCGTCTGCAGAAAGGGTTTGCTTAGCATTCCCAAAAAAAAAAAAAAAGTTCACATTCTTTAGGTCTGACCCGTGGCAAGGACACAGAAGGGTTAGATAGCATCTGTTACTGACCATACGTAAGCTTTTAATGGTATAAACTCAGAGATTCAGACCAGCTGAATCTAAATTAAAATGCATGTGTAAAAAAAAAAACAACAGGTGTGACAGAAGTCAGAGACAGAAGACATTCAGACTAGCATATGGCGTTTTCTGTGAAGAGCAAGATGGTCTGAACGTGAAAAGCTACGGTCACAGTCTGGGCACTGGAAAGGTTTGATTCCTGTATGCTTGCGGAAATGCCGCGTTAGTTCATCAGAACGAGCAAACTTCCACGTGCATCCCTCCCAAGTGCATTTGTAGGGCTTTTCACCTGGAAAAAGAAAGACATAAATGGGGATTTAAGACACAAACACATCAGTTAAATAGTTGACAGATTTCTCCTCTTGCCTTGACAAATGTCATCAAGTACTTTAACATTTACTCAAAATGCCTCCAAACAGCACTGGGCTGCAGAGTACTCTGCACTAGAAACTGTGCAAAGTCAACAGATCAAAAAATTGCTTCCTGCCACAAATTATTTTTTGTTGTCTCTCTGTTCCTCCCTCTGCCATATTAGCACTTGTTTTGTCTCATCAAGCCCACAAGCATGAAGGTTTAGGCACTTGTTCAAGTATTTTCAAAACCAGGACCTCATATTCTACAGTAGTTGAGCAAAAAGAAAAGTTACTGTAGTATTAATAACTGGAACTACTGTCACAACTAGCTCAACTTAAAATCTCTCTCAATCACTACTTTCCAATATGTGATTCTCCTCCTCCTTTACACCATTGTGCTGCCCAAAAGGTGAAGGGCTGGCTTGATGTAAGACAGACAGGAACGGGGCTCCATTTTACCTAAATGTGTACTGTATCTTTGTAAAACCCTTGGCTGTACACATTCAGCATGCCACGATGAACATTTCTACAGAGAACGGGATATGTTTACTGGAACACTCAGAAAAGAGCACTATTGAACCAGTGGTTAGCATGTCTACATGAAACAGATGTGTTTGTATTTAGCACACAGTCCAGGCTTTTGCAAATGGGCTACTCCCATGAAAGTCTCAGTCAAATTTAACAGTGATGCAAGAGGTGAGGTAGTGCAATTTGAACTGGTTTGGTGTTTACAGGGCGTGCAGAATGAGTGAGCTGCAAGCAACTGGACAGAAAATGAGCAGAGTGACAGTGAATGTAAAGCATACCAGCATACACTGTGATCCTCCTTTGGCTTACAGTCTCTTGGGGGTTTTCCTGCTCCATCTCCTGTCTTTTGCTCAGCTTATAATTATATTCAGAACATCTAACTTCTCTTATTTTGTTATTTACACCTGTGGTCACCTGGCCATTAGCACAAAATAAAAGCTTAGTCTACTATTTTACTATAGACTTGAAGAAAGAAAAGCACAGCAATGCTCAAACCTGTATGTGTTCTTCTGTGAGCTTTCAGATGGGAGCTTTTAGTGTAGACTTTGTTGCAGCCTTCATAATCACATCGATGTATTCTGCGTTTTCTTTGCGTGTCTGGAGATTCTACAGGTAAAGGTCTCTTTCCTGGCTGAACTATAACTGAAGGGTGATTCCTGCAAAGTCAAAGTGAATGTTAAAAATGAAAAACATTCAGCACAGCAAACCTCAGCTAATATGATTCATGACAGAGCCCTTTGTTCACTACCACTCTGTCTCTTGGCAAAAAAAACCAGCATTACATGCACGTCGAAAAATTCAAGAGGGTTTAGCAGATTTTGTGTATTCTAGCAGTAATATTTTTAAATATTTACTCACTTTGTGGCATGATGTAGCCATTTTTACTACTCCCTAGCTTTTTTTAAACTTACAAAGGAAAAACCCCCTTCAAATTCCTGATTTTCAGTCAGACCCAGGTTTCTCAAACTCTTAGTTCATAGTGAACATTTCTTGTATTTGTTCACCATTCTTCTTCCTTCAAATGTAACTAATTCACTTGTAATTGGAAACAGCTATTCTGTATTATTAAAGAAATTGCATCTTTAGGGTTTTAAAGCAGAACTCAATCTTTATTGTTCCAGCCACTCCTTTATAGAGTAATTAAGAATTTCCTGTTTGGTGCTTGTAGGAGGGTGCGGCCTCCCTATACCACTGACGTCAATTCCTAAAAGTAGCGTTTAGCCTGTGTGGCACACCCACAGGATGTCTGAAGTTGTCCCTCCACCTTCATAAACATAATTTGTTGCTTTTGAAGCCCACAGGTACAGTGCAGGTAAGACATGCCAACTACATACAGACTTCTGTAACGGACAAAAACATAAACATTCATCCATGTGAAAACACAGTGAGCTTCTTAAAAGTTGTCACTGACTGTGGATATTTACGTTTGAACAACCACTCTACTGTAGAATGGGGGACAACCTTGATTCTTTCTTCCACGTCAATATTAGAAAAGGAAATAAGTATGTTTGTCAAAAAGTTAAGTTGCATTACTTGCAAATCTTGCAACCTCACAAAGTTGCATTTTTCAACCTGTTAGCAGATCTATATCAGTGCTTTTAATATATGTTTTAGCTTTTAACTGAAACTTAGTATATAATGTGCAGATATTAGTGCTCCTTCTTGCAAAACCAGCTCTTCAATGTGACCGAAATAAGCTTTCTAGAACTCCCATCTTTTCTCAGTTACTGTACTTCACATTTCTTTACTGATCGAATTACATTTTATAACACTAGTTTATGTTACTTACTTAAAACAAATTTCTCTAGGGCCCAGTTTTCAGAAACATTGAATATCTACGTCTCTCAGCAAAATAAAGGGCATGTGCTAAAGACAGAAAATCTTGTGTGTGGTTTAACAGAAAATAAATTTTCTGTTACTCTCCACAGCAGCAGGATGGGAATTACCAATGTGGGAAAAGTTTAATTCTGTTATTAATTTTTTTATTAGAGTTACAAGCTTGAAATTGGGAGCCAAATTCTTTTTCTTGGGTGTTTCTGTGACTGTTGAGCGATGTACTCTTCAAGTACACATTAAATCTAGCTAAAACTATTGTAATGGCAGGAAACCCCAGACAGTGATGTTAGACACAGATGTACGTACTCCTAAATAAGAAAGGTGGGCTTTTAGCTTCCAAAGAAAAACTTCTCTAAAGCAATGCTCAGTTTTAATGCTGTTGCATACTAGTCTTTTTGGAGAAGCTCTGGGTCAGGACAGCAAGCAAACTTGGTTTAAATCTCTATGTGCAGAGGCTAGTCCTGGACATGGTAACATCTGGAAAAAGGGAGAAAAAGGATATTGGGTGTACACCGTTTGCGATGGTTTTCAATCTAAGCATGTGTAAAAGGAGCACTGAGAATTTGGCTCATCTTCCCTTTAGAGAAAAGAAGGCTGGCAAGACTACAGAATGTTATCAATAATCAGATTAGGGTGTGGCAGTTCTAAAAAAATGGTTAAGGCAGTGTCAAAAATCAGAGGTAAATATTAAGTACCAATAATGAAAGCACAGCCCTAATTCTTTCATTCCCTCTTACACAACCAGATACAAATTCACATAAGTCTAATCATCTAAGCATCATTCTTTAACAAATAAAGAGTATCTGCCAAAAATCATGTTACAACTTCAACAGCTTTTTCTCCGTCTTTACCAACAGACCACTCTATGTTGACAGCATGAGTTCAACTTCGACACGTGCACTCACAAGAAAATATAATGTTAATGAGGCTTCTTATATTTGGTCAGAGATTACGTCAAGCTTGATTTTAGAAATAACTGCACAGTTACTTCAATTATCACACATACTAGAAAGTCCAGGAATCCCTACAGAAATGCCACCAACATTACATATAT